CCCCAAAACCCCAAAACCCCAAAACCCCAAAACCCCAGCTGACAATATCCCAATTGGTTTATACAAATATGGAAGTCCAAGTCAGAACATTTAATTTGGCTTTTAGAATTTTGGATTTGGACGGGAGATTTAGGGATCGTAGGAAGGATCGTGGGGGGATTTGTTTAGGTGAAGAATGTTTGTGGCTGGTTGGATTATAGTGGTCTTTGAGAGGAGTGTGTTTCCTGTAGGAACTTGGATACTTTCTTGTGGAATGTCCAAGGAGCTATAGGTGGTTAGATAGAAGAGTACTCTAGGTCTTCTTCTTTAGAATTGATTTTGGATTTCTTAGAAGTTCCATTTTTGTTAAAAATGTAGTTCTATATCAGATAAATAAGCTTTCTCAGGATTTTTGTAATATTTCCTGCTTGATGGATAAGAATTATCTCTGATGTGCTCCATTGGGGAATTTGTAAGAGAAAAAGATTTTTCTTGATCTTTTTCTTTTATAGAAAGCAAATTCATAGTTTCACTTAATTTTGGATCTATCTGAGCAATCAGAAGTTTGTCATAGTTTGAAAGGGTTGATTTTCTCATATTTTCTATTAATCCTAAAATTATTAAATAAGCTAGTACCTTTAATAGATTCTTTTTGCTGGGAGTATTTTGCTTTAAAATGTCTATGCTTATACTTTGAAACCACTCCTCTTGATCTAAGCTTCTTCGAGGTATCATCTTCCAGAGATCTCAAATTGCTAAAGCTTGACAAAATCTGCTGTCTTTCATTGAATACTACCTTCATCATGATGTTAAGTTGATGCAAATTAGAAATAATATTAACCGCATCAAGATCGTGGTAATATCTTTTCAGCCCCTTTTGATAAAGATCATAGTTGATTTGTTTCTTCTTATATAATTTTCTACATCAGAAAAGAAAGCCAAAAATAACATCAAAATTAGAGTAAGCATATCTTCTTTTGCTCTCAAGAGTTTTCTTGAGTAAATTTTCATCATCAGGGCTAAATACCAATCTTTTGATATGAGGCAGTTACAGGGTTTTCAATTTGTTGCTTCTCGTCTTCTTCACTCCTATCCTTCTCATCTTCTTCACTTCTATCCTTCTCATCTTCTTCACTTCTATCCTTCTCATCTTCTTGGTCAAAATCCTTTTTATCTTCTTCATCTAGTTCTCTAACTACCTGAAGATTATCAGAGAAGATATTTTTGTCATAAGATCTTAATTCTCTCTTTGAGTTTTCTTCTAAATGCAAAGTCTAACACCAAAGAGTATAAAATATAAACTGCTTACGCTTCTAGACAATAAATTAAGTATTAAATATTTAATAATAAAGCACTTTTGCTAAAACTGCTTAATAGAATGCACTGCTTTGTGGTGTTAACATACAATAATTTAATATCTAGAAACTCAAAGAGTCAAAGAGGTTTATACTGATTTAATTTTTAATTACCATCTTCATTGATATTCTCTCTTCTAGAGTCTTTATCAATCTCATCAACATCAAAAGTGTAAATATTTGAAATTGTCTTGTGCTTGAAAATTATGTCAGAATAAAACCCGACAACAGCACATGTTAATGCATTCAGGAGGCTAGTAATACCTCCAATATTGCCTAGTACATCATAAACTGACCGATATGATCTCTCATGAGTAATAACTTCAGGATCAAGATGAATGTAGATTCTGCCGAATGTAGAAGAGCTTGATGCATATTTATCAAACTTTTCACTTGCCACCGAGTAAAACTTCTCATGGTTTTCTCCCTCAAGGTTAGTGAATCCTTCTTGCATAGAAACTTTGTTCTCCTTCAAAAATATGTCAGTGTGAACAGAAAATCCTTTTTGGTAAGAGTGGTAGTGTTTCTGAGTCAAATAACTCTTGATGGGATTTGTGAAGTCCTTGGGATCAAAGTAATTGTCTACCATTATTATATCGAACCAATCTTGAAAGACATCTGAGTATATGTCTTCATCACTATCTCAGTCGTCTCTATAATACGAAGTTCATTTATCAATAAAAATTCTCAGTCCTTTTCCAATATCTGTATACCAGTTCCCTAGTAAAGAGTAATTAGTTGGTTTAATTCATACGTAATTATCAATATTGTAATGAGCCAATAGAGTCTTATTTTTATAAGGAAAATTTTCTCCACATTTTACTAAATCTAGCTCAGTCCACTTGTTTATCCAACCTCCATTTACTGGATCACTAATTGAGTGGTATTGGTAAGCGGTTACTTTGTACTTTTTCAAAAGTTCTTCATCAAGAAGACTCACGTTACGGTATCTGAACCCAAGAGCAACTGCAAAGCCATGTTCTGCTGGTTTATGTTCAGAAGTATCAGTTGTTAAATCTTTAATTATTCTACTGGTGCTGTATACAATTGGGTCCTTTCTGAACATGTCTCTTAAGAGATAAGTAGTATATCCAAGAATAGTGAGAATGAAGAGTATACTAGCATAGCCACCAATAAAAGTTTGATGCTTTTCATTTCCTTTGTAATTAAGAGTAATTCGCTTGCCGAAAATATCTCAAGCCTTGATTGCATGGCAAGCCTTCGATATAACCGACTTGATAATGTTCACCATTAAATAAAATATTTATTTATCTACGAGCTAATATATATTTGGGGTTTTGGGGTTTTGGGGTTTTGGGGTTTTGGGG